GAGCTAAAAAATATGTGGCTAGAGCATAAACAAAATTTGAATGAAAGGATCCCAGAGAAATTAAATCAAATTCCTAACTAAAATATTACCAACCCCTAATGTAACAATAGGTAAGGCTTGAATATTATCGAGTTTCTCTTTCTGCTTATTGCAGACATAGTCTATGAGGGGCTCCACCACATCTTTTACTTTGCTTTCATCGTGTTCAGGCTCTGAGTGATGTGAAGAAAAAGAGAGTATTTTAGAGAAACCGGATACTTCTTCTACTGCATCGCCACCTGTTTTCGAATCATTAGATGACGAATCTGGTTTTAAAGAGATCTGTTCTAGTTCATCTTCCAGATCACTTACACTAGATCGGAGACAGAAAATTAATCCATCTCTAAATGATAAAATTTGCGTAACTTGCTCTAGTTTATTTTTCAATTTCTTCACCTTAATCTCATGAAGTGACAGGGTAGTATTGGTATCCTTTAATAAAGCTTTTTGTGCTGTTTGTTCTTACTCAGCCTCCAATTCATTTATTCTAGCCTCAAAAGAGGTAATTTCAAAATCCTTCAAATTAATCTCAGACTTTAGTGATTCTATTTCTTTTAACTGCTTGGTATTAAGATTAGCACGAGACTTTCGTTCACAAGTAATTTGGGAGCCAAGCTTATTATTTAAATCATTTAGTTGTTTAGTTAGAGGGATAATTTGATTCATAGAATTTTGAATACGCACATTTTCTTTATGCAAGTAATCTAGATCATTTTGCATATACTCATTTTCTTTATGCGAGTGATCTAGATCATTTTGCATACGCTTATTTTCTTTATCTAAGGTATGATATTTAGTTATAAGCTGTTTAGCAGATCTTATAAACATTTCACGATTTTTTTTTAGCTATTCTTCAAGCTCTAAATGACTAGGCAGATATCGATTGGATGGAGGGCTTTCAAGTTTATTGCCACTATTATTACCTACATCATTCAAGGTATAGATTCGAGGCATAGTTTTTTTTTATTCCAGAAATATAGATAGAAAAAATAAAAATATTTTTGAAATATATTTTTTATATTTCTAAAATGATACATTTATTCTAATTATCCCAAAAAATCTTTTTCGAATTAATGTATTTATTCTAATTATTATATTAAATTATTTTGAAATAATACATTTATCCTAATTATTCTATTAAATTATTTTGAAATAATACATTTTTTTCTAAATATTAAAAAGACTACACTTATTTTATTTATCTCAAAGAATATATTTTTTCTATTTATCCTATTTAATATTTTTTGAAATATTTTATCTGAAAAAAAATACACTACTCTGATTATGGTTAGACAACGTATAAATTGTAATGCGCCTTTATTTTCACCAGCTGATTACGATTTTATTATGCAATATAAAAATGAAAGGCCAAGAAAAAAAGTTTTAGAGGAATTAATGCACAAGTATAATACATCAATAAAATGCATATATCAGATTTGGAGAGGCGAAAAAGCTAATAGAATTGCCTGGAATCGACCAATAGCTGATATTTTTAATGTCAGATCTGGAGTTGTTCACTTAAGTGAACCTGCCTCTTATGCTATTATACCATCCACTAAAACAGAAGAAGGTATTACTTCCTTTCCACCAGACTTACCACTGAAGAAAAATAGCTGAAAAAAGAAGACAGGTAAAAGGAGTATAGCCTTTGCTGAAATAGATGATACTATTAACTATACTCCCTTTAATAATAATATATCTAGAATAGGATTTGAACTTGAAAAAGTATTAAAGAAATGGATGATCTTGGTAATTCTATTTAGTCTTTTACTGCTTTTTAGCAAGTATTTTTATTGCACTTAACGCCTTACCAAGCCATTCTTCAGCTTTTGTAAGATGCTCTTCAAGCTTTTTACAGTTTACATACTTTTTTTAAGTCCTCTTTACTAGTTGAGCTAAAGGAGTTAGCAGATGTTTAAGATAATGAATCTTGCTCATCTTTTGGCGGATCCTTAGCTACTGGGGCCTTGCTATATATTGGAATAACATAGGTTTTCCCATGTAACTTTATGCGGAACTAGTTTTTATTTAGCTCAGGAACACCTTAGAGCTTTCGAATATTTGATATACCTAAAAATAGCATTGGTTTAGGTTTACTATTATCTATACATACAAAATTTCCGATGACTGTGACTGTCTCACCCTCTTTGTTCTTCATAGTAACTGGCACATCTGTATACCATCCTAATGAATCGGTGATATGCCTAGAATTGTCTTTTATAGCAAAATCAGATGGCTTATCAGCCTTCCATTCAAGCATCTTAATTGCCAGGTCATTTATACTACCAAATTCACTTTCTGGATCTAAAAAAGATTCAGAAATCACTAAATCATTTATATTTACATTCAGATATTGTAGAGAAGAAAACCACTCATCTGATTTCTTTTTCTGAGCCTTTCGGAACAAGCACATTTTATGCATTGCCAGAGAAAGTTTTGGCAACAGCTCATCATACGTTTCGGGCTGGCTGTATTCTGTTAGTATCTGTTTTTTTTTTCTGGTAGATAATACCTAATCCATTTATTATTTTCTTCATCATAATTATCTTTCTCATTATCTGAAGCTGAAGGTGTGTATTGGGACTGTGTAGATAGAAGTTGAGGATAGTAATGTGTAAAATTTGATTTAGCTACAAGTTTTTTGGATTGATTATCGAGCATCATCCTCCCGAATTGAGATGTCATTTGACCGATTTCATCTACTTTCGATTCTATTCTATCTATTCTTATAGATTGGTTTTGTTAAGAGCAAGGTCTTTGAAAAGGTTTTATAGGATAATCTGAATCTAATTCATTCTTACTTATTAAACCTATTTTATTTAAGAATTTAGATACATAATAATTCTGGAGATCTTCTTCCGATTGTAATGATGGTGGAGGACCTCTTGGCTGTCTAACTGGTTTGACAGTTTGTGGAGCTGGTGCTTGTACTTTTTGAGCAACTGCTTGCTGGGTCATTTGTGATTGGAAATCGGCTTTTTGCTTTTCTAATAAAAATTGGTATTCAGTTTTTTGCTGTGCTAATGTTTCGTGAATCACCTTTTGTATATCATCTTTAGTAAAAGCTGATTGAGAAGCTGAGGCAACTAGTGGTAAAGAATAGAATACTGGATTTATACTAGGTAAGGCTTGTATTTAATTAGGAATTTGATTTAATTTCTCTGGGATCCTTTCATTCAAATTTTGTTTATGCTCTAGCCACATATTTTTTAGCTCAGTAAAAAATACATTAATACCTGCTAGATTAGCTATTCTCATCCAAGTTTAAAAATTATCCGTTAAGTAGCTTTTAAGGAATCTTATAATTTGCACGTCATTGTCTGTCACTTCTAATAATAGTAGCTGAACTCTAGCTTCATAAGTATCTGGAGTATCATAAGGTTGGTATTTTTCTTGAGTCAATCTTTGTATAGCTGATTGCTGATTTCCAACTGTCTCCTGTTGGTATTTTGCTCTTAACCAACCTTGTAATGTATCTGGAGTATTTATAGCTAGATTTCCTATTACAAGACCATTATTTGCCAGTACTGGAGCGTATTTTCTGCCTATCATAGATTTTAAAATATTATACTTGACTATATCATTAAAATCTCCTGCATTTGCATTTTCAAGAACTGTCATATGCCCTTCAAGATATGCCCATGACTGAATAACCTTATCCAAGTATTCATCAGATGGTTCTTGACCTATGTAGAGTTGAAATTTTGCAAGAGCAGGAGCCATTAATTTTAATACTGGTAAACGTCTAGCCTCAGCCATATTTATTTGATTAGGTAGGTTATTCTGTAGTGCAAAAATTTGTTGATTTAAAATTAAAATATTCTGGCGCTCTGCATGAGTCTTATTTTTTCACTTCTCATATCGTTCATATAATCTATCTCGATTATATTCTAGCAAACCTTTATTGGCTCTATATCATTGTAGATGGAGGGTATTTCGATGATACAATAGCTGGAAACCAAAATTTTCACATAGCAATTCACCAATACGAGTTTGCTTTCTTGCTATATTATTTATCATTCTGTTTACTTGATTCTAAGCATTGGTCCGTAACTGATCACGCTTCTGCATCACTTGATCACGCTCCTGCTTGTATATATTATGATTCCATTGTTCGTTTACTAAATCCTGTTGCAGGTTAGCATATTTTCGTTAGATTGATCTTGCTGTCCTCTTAATTTGATTTTTTAAAATAGTTGGATATATTGTTGTATCATCTAGGGAGCGGTCTATAGCATCAGCTAATTCAGCTATTGTACCCATATCTAAATTTTGATCAAAATTATAAATATCTAAAGAATACTCATCAGAGTTGGATTCATTTTCGTTAAAGTTCTGTGCTTCTGCATTTTGCAAAGCTTCTCTGGTATTTATAAGCTCCAATCTATCTCTATATCTTAATAAGGATAATGCAAAATTTTAACAAAGCAGGTCTGTAATACAGCTTTTTTGTTGAGTTATTTTGTTAATCCTATTCATTTGATTAGTTCTTACCGTATTTATTTCTCGTTTAAGCTGTTTATTCTCATCCACTAATCTGGTTGTATAATCTTGTACTTTGGTGTATTTCCAGCTGATTTTGATATTTCTCGTATTCGGGTTTTTGATTTCGTTTCACGTTCATCAAATTCTAATATTAACTTGTCCTTATTTGAAATTTCTTTGTCTTTCTTTTTATTTTCTTCTTCAAGTTGGTGAACGATTCTTTTTAGTTTTGAGATTTCTTTTTTTAACTCCTCTTTCTCTTCTGTAGAAACTTCGATTGTGTTATTTAACTCTTCTTCAAGAAATCTTATTCTTTCTTCCCGTAAACCAATAATTCTTTCTAAGGTATATAGTCATTGTTCGAAATTTCTATTTGATTCTGCTAATTGCGATATTACTTTGTGGAGTTCTTGATTACTTTGTTGTAATTCCTCTATTTTTTATTTACCATAATTTATATTGATCGAGAAATTGCTAAATCCATAAAAAAGAATCAGAATAGAAGAACCGGTTATTTATATCGATCCTCAGAGAGCACATGATCTTGACCGGGATCTTACTTTGCAGAAGCTCTATTACTGACCTGAGGGCTATTATCGAACTGTTAAAAAAATACGTGATGCTTGCAAGAAAGCTGGATATGAGTTTACTTCAGCTGAAATAAAAGAATGGTTAGACTGTCAGGCTTTATATCAGATTCATAAGCCTCAGCCTAAATTTATTCAGTATGCTTCTTTTAACAATATACATTTTTTAAATGAAGTGCACCAATCTGATATTACACCTATACCTCATGATAAAGTTGGTAATCAGATTTACAAGTATAGAGGTGTTATCAAAGATGTTGCAACTAGATATCGATGTAGTTTCGCACTGACTGATAAATCTTCAGCACAAATAGCTAAAGCGATTTAAAAAATTTATAATGATCCTAATGAACCAATTTCTTGGCCCAGTTGTTTTATTTTGGATAGGGGAACAGAATATATGGGGGATTGTAAGAGTTTATTACTCAGTCATAATGTGAAAATACAATATACTAATTCTAAAGAAAACAATACTATAGCTGAACGTGACCACCAAGAGTTTGAAAAATATGCCTATATCCAGCAAGATGCAAAGGATTTTTTACTTCCCTTATCTGAAAGATCTAGAGATTGGGTTAGAAGTCTTCATATTAA